AAAATTGTCTTTGTATGCAGATAACATGATTGTCTATCTAGAAAAAACAAAGAATCAACCAAAAAACTCCTGGAACTAATAAGCAATTGTAACGAGGTTAGAAGCTAAGTTACTTCAGTCGTGTCCGACTCTGTGCGACCCCATAGACGGCAGCCCACCAGGCTCCGCCGTCCCTTGAATTCTCCAGGCAAGAACCCTGGAGTGAGTTGCCATTTCCTTCTCCAGTGCATGAAAGTGAAAAGTGAAAGTGAAGTCACTCAGTCGTGTCCGACTCTTTGCAACCCCATGGACTGCAGCCCACCAGGCTCTTCCGTCCATGGGATTTTCCAGGCAGGAGTAGTGGAGAGGGGTGCCACTGCCTTCTCTGAACAAGGTTATAGGATACAAGGTTAATATACAAAAGTCAATCGCTTTACTATAGATCAGCAATGAACAAGTAAAATTTGAAATTAAAAACAGCACCCTCAAAAATGAAATATTTAAGTAACAAAATATGTGTGTTATATGAGGAAAATAACAAAACTCTGACAAATGAACTCAAAGAACTAAATAAATATAGATATATGTATTTCATGCTCATGGATAGAAAGACTCAATATTCTCAAGGTGTCCATTCTTCCATACTTGACCTATATATAGTCAATGCAATCCAAATCGAAATTCTAGCAAGTTATTTTGTAGATAACAACAAACTTAGTATCTACTTGGTACAAGTACCTCTCTTGGTACTTTACACAGAGTGGCAAAAGACTCAGAATATACAACATAATACTGAAGGAGAAAAATAAAATTGGATGACCAATACAATCCAACTTCAAGACTTACTATAAAGCTGTGATATGCAAGACAGTTTGGTATTGGTAAAAGAACAAAGAGGTCCACGCAACAGAATAGAGAGCCCAGAAATAGACCCACTTAAGTTTACTCAACCAGTCTTTATGACAAATGAGCCAAGGTAATACAATGGAGTATCTCTTCAACAAGTGGTGCTGGAACAAATGAACATCCACATGCAAAAAAAAAAAGAATTCAGACACACACAAATGTATATCACAGATATCATAGATCTAAATGTAAAACACAAAATTATAAACTCCCAGAGGATAGTATCAGAGAAAAATCTGTGCAATGACTTTTTAGGTAAAACACCATAGACACACTTTTTAGATACAGCATCATAGTCCATGAGAGGACAAGTTGATAAGTTGGGCACATTAAAGTTAAAAGCTTTCACTCTGTGAAAGACACAGTCAAGGGGATGAGGAGATAAGCCACAGCCTGGGAGAAAATACCTGCAAAAGGGATGTCTGATAGAGGACTGTTATCTAACAGATACAAAATGACTGCCGAAAATCAGCAATAAGAAAGTGAAAAATCTGATTTTAAAACGGGCAGAAGTCCTGACCTGACAGCTCACCGAAGGACTATACAAATGGCAAATAAGCACATGAAAATATGCTCCACAGTACACATCGTCAGGAAAATGCAAATGACAACAATAATGACATACCACTACACACATATTACAATGGCCAAAATCTAAAACACTGACACCACCAAATGCTTACAAGGATGTGGAGCAACAGGAACCCATTTTTGGTGAGAATGCAAAATGATATATAGCTACTTTGGAAGAAAACTGGCAGTTTCTTATAAAAAATAAACATACTCTTAACGTACAATTCAGCCACGACTCCTCCGTATTTGCCCAAAGGGAGTGATGGGTGTTGTAATGTCCACACAAACACCTTCATATGGATTTAACAGCAGCTTTATTCATAATCAGTCCTAGGTGTTCACTGGAAGGACTGACGCTGAAGCTGAAACTCCAATACTTTGGCCACCTCATGCGAAGAGTTGACTCACTGGAAAAGACCCTGATGCTGGGAGGGGTTGGGGGCAAGAGAAGGGGACGACAGAGGATGAGATGGCTGGATGGCATCACCGACTCAATGGACATAAGTTTGAGTAAGCTCGGGAGTTGGTGATGGACAGGGAGGCCTGGCGTGCTGCGATTCATGGGGTCGCAAAGAGTTGGACACGACTGAGCGACTGAACTGAACTGATGAACTGAACTTATTCATAATCGCCAAAACTAGGAGGCTACAAGATGCCTTTAAATCAGTGAATGAGTATTCAGACAATGGAATACTGTTCATCACTATATTCAAACAATGGAATACTGTTCATCACTAGAAAGAAATAAGCTCTCAAGCTATGAAAAGTCAAGAAGGAACTTAAATGCATATTAAGTGAAAGACACGATTTCAGATTCCAACTATACGATATTTTGAAATAGGTCAAATTGGGGAACTCCCTGGCAGTCCAGAGGTTAAGACTCTGCAGGGAACCCAGGTCTGATCCTTGGTCAGAGAACTAGGACTCCACAAGCCACATGGTGTGGCAAAAAAAAAGAAAATTTAATGGAAATAGGTGAAACTATGAAGATGGTAAAAGGATAAGTGGTTGCCAGTAGTTAAAGAGGAGGGAGGGATGAACAGACAGAGGACAGATTTTTAGGGCAGTGAAACTCCTCTGTACGATATTATTGATACAATGATGCCAACATGTAACTTACATTTCTCAAAACTCACAGAATGAACGCCACCAAGAATGAACCCTACATTTAGTCACCAAACTATGGACTTTGGGTGATAATGATATATCAACGCAGGTTGTTAATTGTAACAAATCTGGTGCAGGACGCTGGTAGCCAGGGAGGCTGTGCTTGTATGGGACACTGAGTGCATAGAAGCTCTTTGTTATTTCCTGCCCAATTTTGCTGTGAACCTAAAACTGCTCTAAAAAAATAGTCTATTTAAAAGGGGAAAAATCCTCACAGAACAGTGAGTGATAACAAATGGCAGTGGTTGTTTTAAATCACAAAGCTTCAGGGCGATCAGTTATGTAACAATGGATAACAAAGACACCCATTTATGGAAAAGACTGATGATTAACTGCTAACACCCATTCTTTCTTTCCTCTTCTAGAATAGAACACTTCAGTTCCGCTGGGGGAGAAAAAAATGGCCTTCCAATCAAAGATTACATTTATGAGCTTCCCTCACAGTTGATAGGTCCACAGGACTAGGTTCTAGGGAACAGTAGTTGGATGAACAGGATGAGGGAACTTTCAGGGTTATGCTCTGGAAAAGAGGATCTGTCCTCCCCTTCCCTTCCATGCTTCCTGCTGGTAAAAAAAAAAAAGTGAAGACGGCAGTTGAGCTGGAGCAGCCACCTCATGTCATGGGGGGGGAACCACATGTTAAGGATGGCAGAGGAACGTGGTAGAAGTAGCCAAGGTCGGGGATGCCCTCCAGACACCATTCCAGCCCCGACTATCGTCATTGCAGCCAAGCCCGTCTTCTAAGTAACACCCCACATCTCACAGGGCTGCTCTAAAGACGGGATGAGAGGAGGTGCAGAAAGAACCTCACAGGGAGCCTGACACAGAGCAGGTGAGCTCCGCACACACGGGCCCTGAGAGCTGAGAGGCTCCAGCAGGCGGATGCCGCTTCTTGGATGGCCCTGACCCAACCGTCTTCATCTACTTTCGACAGTCAGTCTCTGCGACCAAGCCCACAGGGCTGCGCGGGACACGTGTAGAATGGGAACAAGGCTGATCCTGCCGATGCAAACCAATCCCGGGACCCGTGTGAAGGCAGACACCCAGAGCTCAGCACTGCCAACCATGCTTCCCCAACCCGCCTTTGCCGTTTTCAGGAAACTTGACTCAAAGTTTACTGAAAACTGAGAGTTTACTTTCAGCAAACTCTCCTACCTTCCAGATGAAGTCCAGACTCCTCAGCCAAAGGACAGGAAATGGCATCCCAGTCCAGCATTCTTGTCTAAAGAATCCCATGGACAGAGGAGCCTGGCGGGCTGCTGCCCATAGGGTCACACAGAATTGGATACAACTGAAGCGACTTAGCCTGCATGCATGCATTGGAGAAGGAAATGGCAACCCACTCCAGTGTTCTTGCCTGGAGAATCCCGGGGACAGAGGAGCCTGGTGGGCTGCCGTCTATGGGGTCGCACAGAGTTGAACACAACGGAAGTGACTTAGCAGCAGCAGCAGCCTCAGCCAAGGGAATACACAAGAGTCATTCACAACCTATCCCCACTCCTTGATCAAAGCTCGACCCTTGGTGCCCTCCCTCCAAGCACCAGCCCTACCGAGCAGTGCAGAGTTTCCAGGTCACGCTGTGTTTCCTCACCCCCCAGTGGCATGGCACACATTTGTCCATTTGCCTGCAAACCCACCTCTGCCCACAGAGCCTCTGCCCTCTTCTCTACTTGGCTGACTTCTGTTCTACCTTAAGACAAGGCTCACCATCACCTCTAGGAAACTGTCCTTGGCTATGGAAGAGACCACTCGTGGACTCGCCAAAATTCTCTTCCAGTCCTCCCCAGTAAGGGAAGTTTTGTGCAGCTCACGGCCACCGAGCTAACCACAATATTTCCCAGCCTACCAGCTGGGGCCACGGGAATTGGCGCTGGTCAACGGGTGTGAGCAGAAGTGACATGGCGATGTTTGTTCCAAAAAGCTTTAAGGAAAGGAGGGTCCCTCCCCTTCCAAGGGCTTGGTAACGGTTCCTCTTCAACACGTGCACAAAAGCAGGACAGCCAGCAGGACAAGAAGAGGAAGGGCGTCCGGGCCTCCGACACCGTGGGCAGCCTCCACATGTCCGAGAGGAGCAGAGGCGAGGTGGAAATTTAAGAGCTTACCACCATTTATCAGTGCAAAGCACCTGCGTGGCCTTCAGTGGCCACTGAACCAAACCTTCCTGCTTCAGAGGACCCGCCACAGGATCAACTTGAAGATCCAAGATTAGGGTGGCAACCTCCACTGACTCAGGTCATCGATTCAAACTGCCCAAGACGAGGGGGAAAGCAGAGCGGAGCGCGAGCCATCCCACGTGTCGTCCTGAACCTCCACCTCCCAGCACTCCCGCCCCACCTTGCGTTCCTGACACAAGTTGAGAAAAAAGGGGACCTTACCTCTGGAGACTTTGTAGACTTCATAGAAAGAATAGACGTGGAAGCCTACGGAAGCTAACAGGTAAAAGGACAGTTCCCACCACGGCAGCATTGCTCCACGCCGAGAGTTTCTAGGAAGAGAAATGGAAATAAAAGCCGTAAGCCAAAAACATGACACTGGAGGACAACCTCTCATCACCATCGCCAGCCAGTCCCCTTGTGCCCCCAGGGACCGTCCCTCGTCAAGACACAGCCCCTCCTCCCAGAGACACCTCCTCTGCGTGACCTCATCCCACCCGGTCACATCTCTCTCTCTCTCACACACACACATCACACACACAGCACACGCACACACACATCACACACATCTCACATACACAGCATCACATCACACATACACACATCTCACATACACATAATATCACACATGCATCACACACATATCACATACATACACACATCTCACATACACAGAATCACATCACACACACATCACACATACACACATCACACATACACATAATCACATCACACACATCATACACACACACATCACACATGCACATATCACACACACACACACATCACACACATTTCACCTACACAGAATCACATCACACACATCACACACACACATTACACACACATCACACATGCATCACACACATATCGCACACACACATCACACAATCTCACATACACAGAATCACATCACACACACACATTACACACACATCACAAACACACCACACACACATCTCACACACATCTCACACACACACACACACCCCGCCTGCCCAGAATGGGCAGGTCTTTCCCTTTGAGCCCCACAGCCGCCCACCAGCCATCACAGGTTACACCAGCCACTCCTGTCCTCACTCCTGCCACACCCGTCTCCCCAGCAGAGCCGACCTTTAGAGAGCAGGGACCGCCATCTCAGTCCACAGAACCCAGCACATGTCACCGAACGCAGCAGGACGGGACTACTACATGCTCCAGGAATAACAGATTATTGTTCAAAAACCTAAAGAGAAGACAGCCCCAGGGACTTCCCTGGTGGTTCACTGGCCACGACTCCATGCTCAGAGAACTGGATCCCACACGCTGCAACTAAGAGTTCACATCCCACAACTAAAGATCCTGCAGGCAGCCAAGTAAATAAATACATTAAAAAATAAAAGCACAAACCATCTCCAAACCTCTTCTAACCCAACAGTCTCAACCTCCTCGTTCTCCCCTTCAAATGCCATCCCATAGTGGTTTATAAGACTGGGCTGACAAAACCACTGTGTCTTCCATCTTCCGGGCGCTTCTTAAAGGGAAGCCAATAGCATGATCCCATTGAGTCACCCACTCTGTATATGCAGTCTCCCTTCTTGCACAGGAACTGAATTTTTATTTACACAAGGATGCTGAGCTCAGTGTATCCAAGGGTGGATATTTGAATAGTTCTGGCTCTGAGGCTGTGGTCACCCCCTTCCTGCTGGGTGGAGTTGGAACAACCACATTTAGACCAAGAGGTGAAAGCCACAGAGAAAAATAAGACAGAGGTGCCTCAGTTCCTGACTGCACGTACCACCCCACCCCACCCCCAAAACTGCCCTGGACCTCTTATATCTCTGGACTGTTACATGAGAGAGAAATGCCTTCCCAGGTTGTGTAAGCCCGTGCTGTTCTCGATCTCTCTGTTAGGGCAGCCATGTCTATACTCTTAAGTAATAAAGCGGGTAACAGGAAGTCCTAAAACTCTGCAAATTAAATGATCAGTTCCCAAATGACACAGGGTTAGCTAAATGTAAACCCCTTTATGGCCGTCACTGCTTTACTTAAACCTCTCAAATATGTCAAAGTCAAATTAAAACAAGAGCAAAATGTTAAGCCCCCAGCAAGCACTTCTAATACGTGACGGTAATGCCAAAACTCAGACCTCACCCATGAGCTCACTGTATTTTCACAAGAGTTGGGTCAAGTATGTGGAGCAAGGGAGGCAGGCATTTATAGATGATGAATGTGAACGCAGTGAGGTCATTCAATCAGAAATAATGGAGCCAGGGCACAAATCCAGGTCTTGAGACCCCTGGGCCCCCACCTCACCCCTCAGGGATGGAGCCCCTTTAGTACCAGTTCACGGAATTACTTGTCCTCAGAGTCTGGCTCAGAACCTTGCCACTCACAAACCCCTTTCTGCAGGGAGTCACAGCAGGAAGGGATATAAACTTTCCCTTTCATAACATGAGGTCAGAAATCAGTGGTCCTCCACCTCTACAAGTTGCCAAGGCATGAGTTTCTCCCACAAAGCTCCCAGAAGACCCAGAATCCGCCACTTGTACTTCCACGGCCAATCTCTCTAAGCCCCAGTATTTCAACAACGCCTTCACAGGATCCCCTAGTACTTTTCAGAACCACTTCAAGCTTCATACATCTCTGGTCACCCTTTATTTTTAAATACCTGGCATCTCCCAGAATATGTTAAGATTTCTTTCGGGGACTTTGTAGGAATATAGTTAATTTTCCATTTAGTGGTAAGCAAATTTCAACCTCTGGGCTTTTTTTTTTTTTTTACTTTTTGTTTTGTCACGGGTTACAGCTGATAAACAACATCATGGTCGTTTCAGGTGGACAGCAAAGGGACTCTGCCATACATACACATGTATCCATTCTCCCCCAAACTCGCCTGCCATCCAGGATTCCACACAACACTGGGCAGAGCTCCCTGTCCTACACGGCAGGTCACTGTTACAAGCTCTGAGCTTTGTATTCGCCCTCCTTCCCAAGGATGCTCGTATTACTATATTGGATAACTTCCTCCAACAGCGAAGAGCGGAACCCCTCTTCAAAAGCTACTGAAACTTGAACATAAATAATCTTGGAGAATAACTAAAACTTCCAGAAGTCCTGCACTTTTGAAGCTTTTAGTGAACATTCTCCTTCGAGGACAACTCCCCTGCATTGGTGACTTCGCTGTCAGAAAAGTAGAAAACTCAAATGTTTTTTGATGCTGCTCTTGGCTATATCGTATATGTTCTGCAGACATATACACAGAGATGCTTAGTAATAAGCAACAAAGCGGTGGGCTGTGTCCTCATATTTAACGTTTGGGGACTGGACCAGCTCCTGCTGACAGCACAGTAGTGGACTCTGCATCAGGCAGACCTGGGAGGTGACCGGGCTCTGCCAATGGCTCAGGAAATTTAAGTGGGTCACAGCTTCCCAGATATGCTTCCTCATAAACTTATTAAGTGGATTGAATGTAAAAGGCGTACCCAGGGCCTGACACAGAAGAAGCACTCAGTGAACACTAGCTAAAATCCGTCCCAGTGGGATCAGTTAGTGAATTGAACTGATCGGGAGCTTACCTGGCCAGAGACCTGGGTCTCCTTCTGAACTGATGATCTCTAACTGACCGTCCATGGGGGGAGGGACTGAGCATCCCACCTGCTGCTGGGCCTTCTTCCACTCATCAGCACCCCAAGAGCTTCTCCCATGTCTCATCCCCCTCCTGTCCCCACATCCAGCCCCAAGGCCACCCCAGACAGCAACAACGTGTCCTTGGGGACCCTCTGGAGAGCTTTCTGCCCAGCGTCTCTCCTCATCATCCCTTTTCTTCGCCCGAAAAGGAATTATATGCAGCACTCACTCCTCTTGCCTCACCGTTCACAATCCCAGAAATGTAACCTCAGAACACTGCCACCACACATGCACCCAACTTGTCCTTAACAGACCTTTCTTCCTTAATAATTCTTTTCAACTCTTGTCCACTTATCTCAAGAAGACTGCTCTCTCCAGGGCTCTCCCCACCTCTGTTCATTTCAGCTGTGCGCTCAGAGAGCCAATCAGGATAGATATGATTCAAAGGATTTAATGACACAAGAGTATCAAAGAAAAGCTGAACCTTTGGGAATACAACTAGAATTTTTTTTTTTTTAATGTCCAAACTCATAAAGGTTCCTAAAGACCCAGAAAATTCTCAAGTTTCTAATGTTTCAATTTTCTAAATATGATTATGCTATTCTTTAGGCACAAGATACCACAATGAAATCCAAGAAGTCCTTACTCAAATGTGTAAGTGATGTTTATCTTCTGTTTTTCATGCACAGATTCAGGGCTGCAGCAACATTATCAGCTAAGTGGGCATCCAGGTGACAGCCCGGACTTCCCTTGTGGCTCACATGGTAAAGAATCCACCTGCAAGGCAGGAGACCCAGGTTCGATCCTTGAGTCAGGAACATTTCCTGAAGAAGGGAATGGCAACCCACTCCATTATTCTTGCTTGGAGAATTCCATGGACAGAGGAACCTGGGGCTACAGTCCACAGGGTTGCAAAGAGTCAGACATGACTGAGTGACTAACACTCACACTCTCACATTCAATAGCCTAGAAACTCATCACCATTTACATCATGATTTCTATAGGAAACAGCCAATCTACAACAACACGGCCTGTTTTAAAGTAGGAATCCACATGATCAATCTATATAAAGGAGGCTGCATTACTGATGTGAGAGCTAAGGAGGGTTACGGGGAGATCTGATGGTGAAGATGTGTCTGAGAACACTTCCACTTCAGAGGGAATCCTCGTCAGGACCATGAGAAAGAGAAAATGTGTATAGTTTAGGAGCCAAGTGGCAAAGGGTCTTAAATACATATAACATTCAATCTTTGTGTGAAGCTTCAGGAAGATGACCTTTGACATGGTGGTAGCATCGAGAGGCAGGGAGGTCAGCGATTCAGGCCCTCAGTAGCAAGTGGAGAGAAAGTTCTAGAACCAAGCAACACAGAGTAGGAAAAATCAAGTTGCATACGGCACCAAACTAATCCAGGAGGCAGTGAGGTGGAGGGGGAATAAAGGACCTAAAGCAGCATCTCTGAAGCTGTTAAGACTACATTATCTCAAAGTTAGTATTACTAATGAGAGTAAGGAACTGGCACAAAGTGACAACTAAGACAGAAAATGCATTTAAGATTAGGTCTTGGAAGAAAACCATGGCAAAGGTTTTCCTGGGATTAAGGGAAAGAAGTCAGACTGGATGAACAAGATTTCTCTACCTTGTATTGGGTATAAGAGCCCCAGGCTGAGTAATTTCAAAACGTACTATATTTATCTGGGAACCATAGAACTCGTGGGGCCCACA